GGTACGGCGTCCTTTTTCATCATCCGTGGTGGTGATAAAGCCCTTCGGTTTGTTCAGCAGGATATAAACCAGGTTTTTCTTAGGTTTCATCTCCTTATCGTCGTACGTGATCCGGTCGCCCTCGTTAACGCGGTAGCCAGGTTCCAGCATTACTTCATCATTTACCTTTACTTTACCTTCTTTAATGATGGATGCGGCTTCCCGGCGGCTGCTGATCCCACTATGGGCCAGGTATTTGTTCAGCGTCATCGGGCCTTCTTTGGCCTTCTCGTCCCATTTATGACTTCTTGTAAACGGACGTTCATCTTCGTAAAAATCCTCACCTTCAAACGGATTTTGCGGCTTCAATTCTGTTTCTTCCTCTTCGTTGCGTTGACCTGGCTTTCCCTTTCTTTTATCATCACCCCGGAAAGACGGTTTGTCCGAAGGACGCTTACGATCGCTAAATGACTTTTTGCCGCCGTCTTCTAAGCGGGTACTCTTGTCCTTACGGTCTTCGAAAGGAACATATTTTTTAAATGGCTTGTCTCCATCATCCCTACGACGTTCCGGCTTTTGCTCACTACGATTGCGGTCAAAAGATTTTCTGTCTCCATCTTCCCGCTTTTTGAAAGGACGGTCTTCCCGGTCGTTCCTGCGTTCAAACGGCTTGTCGTCCCGTTTTTGGAACGGGCGCTTCCCTTCACTATCCTCATTCCTGCGCTCAAATGGCTTTCTTTCTCCATCTTCACGTTTTTTGAAAGGCCGGTCTTCCCGGTCATTCCTGCGTTCAAATGGCTTGTCGTCCCGCTTTTGGAACGGACGTTTCCCTTCGCCACCTTCATTCCGGCGCTCAAATGGTTTATCTTCTCTTTTCTGATAAGGGCGTTTGCCTTCTCCACCACCGTTTTCGCTGCGGTCATTCCTTCTTTCAAAAGGTTTTTGATCGTCACGCTTCTGGTACGGGCGTTTTCCTTCGCCACCTTCACGGAATGGCCTTTTGCCCTCATCATTCCTCGACCGACCTTCACCCCGATTTTCATCGCGGTTATTATTGCGCTCAAAAGGCTTGTCTGCTCTTTTGCTGAAGGGACGATCTTCATTGCGGGTTTTACTCTTAGGCTTGAAGGCCCTTTCTTCTTTTTGTTCGGGCGCGTCACTACG